TAAATCATGCTCAAATTTTGTTAATGGATCGTTACCCGTCTAACGGATACTCATTTCATTGAACGGCTGAGTCGACTTTTATCGAGCTTTGTTCACGGATAAGCTAAGCGTTTTAACGGGTAGTTATCAACGACTCTAACGTTTATAAAATAGTTTCAGAGCACGTTTAAAAAATTCCTTAACGATATTACCCATTTTGAGGTAAGTGACTAAGCGCGATTCCCCATGGATAGTCACAACTTTCTCCACAAACAATTAATAAATGTCCAATTTACCAGTAGGGAAAATAACTCTCGTGCGATGGATCATACTGTCGAATGGCAACCTTCTCTTGGCAGTCAAAAAAATAAAAATGGGTGTCAATCATTTTTGTTCCTGTTTGTTGGCACTGAAAATACTACGAAAAGCAGAATCTCTATGACTATTGAATACGATTGTTCCAGTCTGACCATGTGAAATTCAAAGAAGGAGAGTTACGTGATAACAATACTTTGAGGGCAGAGGGACTGTTAAAATGTGCCAAGTCCAACCCTTAAGAGGAAGGAGCTCTTCAAATTTTCGTTTACCTGGGGATGCCTGCGTGGTGGTGAAAGCACAAAAAACCCTTGCGTTTCAAATGAAAACTAATTCAAGCACACTGAGATTAAAAACCATTGGATTCAATTGCTTTAAAATATATTCTATGATGTATTGAATTCAATTTATGAATTAAAATGGATTTTTAACCTCTTCCTATTCAGAAAAAAAACGTGAAAATAGTTGTAATCAGAGTTGGCAAGGAGCCGTACAAAAGCAAGGAAGATATGAAAAAGATAGCCGGCAAGAAGGCAACAGTTTTGGTTTACGGAAATTTCGACGCACTTATCAATAGTGTCGACGATCTCCTAAAAGCTACATGCGGTAAGCTCCTTTTGCTTCCTCCTTATGCGCTAGTTCAAAAGTATTTTGACAGATACTTAGTAAAATCCACATGTAAGTATTGGAAATTTGTTCCGAGACTATTGGATTTGTTTATTCATCTGATACGGCTAATATATCTTCCTCAAAGCTGTTAACGGAGAATACACTGATTGGTCTGAGTCTGAGTGCAGTGTGACGGAGGAGTGAAGACACTTACAAGAACCTGTACCAATCCCCCGCCATCCAGTGGTGGAAAGGACTGCAGTGAACTTGGACCAGCTGAAACGACAGCACCATGTAACTAACAAAAATGCCGTAAGTACTTTTAAAACCATTTTCTTGAGAAAAATTAGTTATAGCAACGCCTGGAAGTGTGATTTTAAGATTAGCATTACCTGCTTTTCTTCATCTTCGGAGAGAATTTGTAATTGAGATTCTAAGACTAGCATAGGTTACGTTTTAGAAATATCCATTGTACGTTGAGATTAAAAAACGTTATTAAGAGCGTGGAGATTTTCTACGCTTTTTATCGAGAGGAATGCTTATATGGACCCCGAGAAACA